AGACAAAACTTTTCCTTGTGGAGCTTAACCTGCAAGGAAGTAAAACAGCTGATGGAGAACAGCTCTAGTTGCTGAGAGGGCTGGAGAGGTGGGAATGAAGGTGGGATGTGGGTCAGGGAGGATGTGGCACTTCAGTCTCTCAACAGCATTTGGGAAGAAGGCATGGTTTATAGGATAAGAGAGAGGCTCCTGAGGTGAGACTGAGGTGTTGCAGTCCCCTTTTATCCAGAGTTCTGTCTTCTGAGGTTTCAGTTACCCCCATCAACCATTGTACAGCAAAGAATGAAATATGTCAGATGGTCAGGAGTAGCCTGACACTGTATCACAATGCCTATGCCCTTTACCTCACTTCATTAGGAAATTATTTCATCCCCTCACATCATCACAAGAAGGAGAAGAGTGAGAGCAGTATCATATATTTTGTGAGAGAGAAAGAGAGAGACCACATTCACAAACCTTTTATTACAGTATATGATCATAATTGTGCTGTCTTACCATGCCTAATTTATAAATTAAACTTTATCATAGGTATGTATGTCTAGGAAAAACATAGTATATATAGGGTCTGATACTATTCATGGTTTCAGGCATCTACCACTGGGGGTCTTGGAACCTATTCCCCAAGGATAAGGGGGAACTACTTACTGTACTTGAAATCAACTACCTTGGGCCCCAGCTACTTGACTTACAAAAGTAGATTGAACAATGATGTTTCAACTGGAAAGCAGGAGAGTCCTCAGCCTTGTGCGGATTCAGACACATGCAGGACTAATACTGTGGGTGGCCAAGGAGGTGGGGATGGACCTTATGGATAAAGGGAGATATGGAAAGGAAAGGGGGCCAGAAAGAGCCTGGCACACTCCCCAGCAGTGAGGAACCTGGCACAGCAAAGAAGAGTGGGTGGGGAAAGACTGGAGACTGCTCAAGCCACACAGCAATTCAGGGCAGAGCGAGAATTTGAACCCAGGGCCATCTAACTCAAAATCCAACCCTTGCACTGTATCCCACAGCTTTGAGTGTGAAAGTGGGGAGGGCAGACTCAGAGGAGCAGGAAGACACATGCCAGAGTCATATTTTTTAAACCTGGGCTGCAGCGTGGGCACTGTGGGGCTGTCACATAACTAGGAAGAAATGTGATGAAGGACCCAGTGATGAGGTGACAGGGGGTGCGATTTCAGAATGTAGCTGGAGATTAAGTTGGCAAGACTTAACACTATTGATTGAATGTGGAAAATGCCATGTAAACAGGTGAGGCCAGCTCCTGCTTGAGCTCCTGGAGGACAACGTGGAGGTTCCTATATGTCGCAGGGGACAATATTATGCCCATTTCCACATCCTTGGCTAGTTCAACATCCTCCCTGGGTAACTCAGCCTCCCCCATCCCCACTTATCCTTGGAGACCAAGCTCCAACTTGGATGTCACAACCAGAAGTAAACCCCTTCACAGAAACGCTTCCAACCTGTCTCTCCAGCCTTTTTCCAGTTTCACACTACTTTTTTGCTTGTCGTGACCCTAGGCATCTCATGCATGCATGCACACATTCACCAGTTCTTCCTTGAGCACAAAACCTGGGTCTTCTATTCTGGGAACAGGGACCACAGACTTGCAGTACACTCTGTGAATGCATAAATGAAAAATGGAATAAATCAAGAGTAGGAAACGATTGGCTTCTTCCTAACTGATTATAGAGGCTGCCTGGAGCACTGTGTGGAGGATTCTGAGGCTGCATCTAGGCTTAGCTGCAAAGGTGTTGTAATCAATTAGTGATGTCTGCCATGAGCACAGGAAGGATGTGGAAGCATACATGCCACTTATACTCAATGTCTTGATGACAGGATCTATAATGTTTGGACAGTTGACAGCTATTCTCAGGAAAAATCAAAGATGATGTCTGGTATGGCTGAAGGTTGAAACAGATTAGAAGGAGCATTTAGGAGAGCTGGGACCAGTGACAGTTACAGGCTGTCCTCAGCACTGCATTTTCAACTTTCATACCACTGTCCACTTGTGTGCATTACATAATGGTGCCCCTAAACCACCTTTTGTACCCTAACTGGAGGCTCTCAAACCTCAGCCTACAAAGGAATTTTCTAGCTAATGCCTACCAGCCAGTGGTTTTGTTTTGGCAGCCTGTCTGGTTGTCTGCTGCACTGTGGTCTTTAGACAGTTCATCTGAATATATTATTTCCCTTATGCTTCTATAAAAGGAGTGTAAAAATGCAGGTATGGCTACCAGGGAAGGAAGAGTAGTTCTCCTAAATATAATAAAGAGGCATTGTATCAATTCAGAACTCTAAATAATGGAATTGCTTCAAAATAATCATCAGCCACTTAATAAATCATGTCACTGGGGTCGCAGTGGAATGGTCTACTATGTATATGTTAATGAAGACAAAGAAGGTTACATTTAACCAGGTTATACCCTTAAGGACACCCCAGAGGCCTTCTCCCCTCACCATGACCAGGCAGAGCATAACCAACTTTAGTCTCATCAAAGGGGTCCCACAGATGAAGAGCAAATTCCTATGATTTTCAGTTCTTATGATTACTTGGTAATGTTCTTTTCCTTAAATTTTGTGAGCCTTGGGGGTTACAATAGAAATATCACTAATCAGGTCCTGTGTGCTCTAATCATTAATTGGCCATACGTAAGTGGAAAATATGTAGTGAAAGCAAAGGATTTTAGCCTCCCTGACTTTTCATAGACATAAGTTTGTTGACTGGGCTGTTCCTTTTGAAGAGAATCAAGAATTTATGTGAAATGCTGAAGATCTATAATAGATTGTGCCTACAAATCACAGGAGATTTTATAGCACTGTTAGCTCTCTGGGCAGGAGCCATTAACCCTTATTGACTGCTGGCCTCTAATATTATATTACTACTAATATCACCTGAGAGTCTTTTGGTGTATATTTGACCTGCATTCACCTTTTCTGGATTGTTATATATGACAGCAGGAGATTGTATTGATGGCATGCCATGTCCATTGAGGTGATTGTTGATTTGGAAACAGGATACCAAAATTGGTGGGCCGAAATTGATGGGCCTAGCCAATGTTGTGGGCTAGGGACAGTGTCCAGATGAGAGAATTTAGCCTTCCAGTTGGTGTCAGCAGGTCCCATTGACACCTTGCCCTGCTGGCTTTAATTTCCTATTTTTTGAGGACTGGGTTTAAATCCCTGCTTTGTCACTCACTAACCAAATGACTTACATTTGTATTTATATAAAGTATGGTCTCTTGCCTTTCTGTTTGTAGTTTAAGTGCAAAGAAACAGTAGTGGCTTTTTGGTGGTTGTTTTGTAGTCTTCCTGTCCTCTTTAGACCCTCCAATGTGTATATTACCATTCTCAAATGAAATAATTAAGCATTAACACAAAATCATAATTTGTAATGCTATACCGTTTTCTATTACAATTTTTGTAGGATCTTAATTTATGTAAAAATAAAATAAATAATAAATCCAAGAGGAGCTGCTATATAAATGTAGCATTTCTATGATATCTGTGGTAGGATTTTATTTTCTTCTGTCTTTCATCCCCATGGCCCATGTCCTGAACTCCTACTTACCCTCTACAGGCCAACACCTAGATCACCTCCTTGGAGAAGCCCTCCTTGACTGCCCCTATAGTTAGCTATCCTGTGCTCCACTATCCTTTGCACCCCCCTGATTACATAATGCATTAATTGTCCACTTACCTACATGTCTATCTTTTCTACCAGTCAGGAAGCCTCTTGAAGCAGAAAAGCCTCTAGCCTATGACTCACTCTTAGTTGTATGTTACAAAGTCTAGCTTAGAGCTTGATACACAAGAGTGTATTTGTGTGAGTGAGCTAGTAGGTGGGTGAGTGAGTAATTGAATGAATTAATGAATGGAGCAAAGGACTGAACCACTGGTCAAAGAAACTCTGGGCTGAAAAGGGGCAGAGGCTATACTAGCCCAGGAGGAATTAAGAGCACAAGTCCTTTACCTGGGGAATCTGAGTTTCTGAGCCTGGGGAATCTAGAAGCTTGTGTACATGTCTGTGTCTGTACACATTTGGTGGGAGGGGGAGCAGGTCCACAGCTGTCATCAGATTCTCAGAAGTGTCCATGGCCCCCAACTGTTGACAAGTTGCTGATCTAAACAGATGGAACAGGCAGTCCCCACTGAGAGGACATGAACAAGTAATTGGAGGAGAGAATGTGACAAAGGAGGGGACACGGAGTCCTACAGGGACCTTAAGGAGAGGGCACAGCCCCAGGACAGGAAGTCCTATAGACTATGAATGTATCACTGTTTCCTATAACAGCTTTTATGAGAGGAAACCCAGGGAAGATTTTGTTTCTTTCACTGACTTGATTTTTGCACAGAATCCATGGGCTGCAGGACCTCTTGGGTTCACTGGGTCCAATCTCCTGCCTCCAAGCAGAACTGGGATGATTCCAGACAAACCCCTGGGTCTCTCCTGCCCCAGACAGCTTCCCTCCCCTTGCCCTCAGCCTCCTCTCTTCTCCCCTTTTCTATCTTCTCCCATCCTATCCATGTCTACGAAAACTTAATTTTCCTCAAGAGCAGTGGTTTTCAGAAATGTGGGCCTTGGCCCATTGGTGAGTGTTGACATAATTTTAGAGGGTCATGACCAGCTTTCCAAAAAAATGAAATAAAGTATAGAAAATATTGAGTGCATCACACATAAAAGAATATTTCGCGAAACTTCCTGTTCTAACTCAATGCATACAGGGTTGTGATATCATATATATCTTTTTGTGGGTTATAATAAAAAATTATTGAAAAGCATTGATCTCAAGCATCATTGTAGGCACTTAACAGATACTTGCTGAATGGCCTGGCCCTTGTGGGGAGGTAGTGGGAGATGATGTAGGAGAATAGGCTATGTTAAGGGTTCATGTTTTAATGCTGCCCTGGAAAGCCCTTTGCTCCCAGTGAGAAGTTAGGGGGCTGTTACATTGCCCACCACTGTCACCCTTCTTGATTCTTTCCTCTCCTCACCTGGGCAGGTTGTATATGTCACCGCGACATTCCCCTATGTCATGCTTCTGATCCTCCTGATCCGCGGGCTCACGTTGCCAGGGGCAACCGAAGGCATCAAGTTCTACCTGTACCCTGACCTCTCCCGGCTCTCCGACCCACAGGTAAGCATTGCTTGCTGGATGCATAGTTGCCACCCGGGAGCCTTCTGCAGACCCCTGCCTCCAGCCACAGAGGCTCAATGCTGAGAGAGCACTTAGAAGCCTGCAGACCCCTTTTCACAATAATAATTTCCAATGCATAAATTAAATACATAGGAAATCAAAGGTATTGAAATACAACCACTAAAACAGTAAAAAAGACAAATTTATGACATAGTAATAATATATGTACTTCTTTATCAGTACATTAAATAGCAAGAGCCAGCAACGGGTCCAATAATTTCCACAATTTCAAAGCAGTGATGCACATAAATGATATTTGGACATATCTATTCTGTGATATGAAAGTGCCTGAGATTTCTACAGCCAACAATACTGTGGTCTGTTGCCTGTACTTATATTTGAAGGAAATGCTAAATTTCAGGTAGGGGTTAGTGAAAATAAAAACAATTTTTTTCCCCACCTAAGATCATGGGTCCTGCAGCTGGCATCTCAGGAGAGAAACCAGGTTTGAGATTGATTTTCTTTGTGGAGGTAGCTCACAGAAAGAAAATAATTGGTGAAAATTGGCTAACCTGTCAGCTATCTCTGGTGGCATTGGCTGTTCTAAACGGGCACTTTTAGCTTATGCCTAAACTCCTCTACGTGGGTGGTGGTGCTGTGTGCCTGGAGGTATGTGAGAGAAGAGATGAAAATAGGGCATCTTTACCAGCCCAGGAAGTTCTCAGGTTCACTATTTGTTGGAACCTGGGGAACTTTTGAGAATCCCAATTCCCAGAGCACAAGCCGGACCAATTAAATTAAACTCTCTGGGGGTGGGTCCCAGGTATCAGTACCTTTTAAAGGTCCCCAGGTGATAACCTGCTCAAAGATATTTGAGTGGCTGAGAAGGCACCCATTTTTCTGTTAAAACAAACAGATCATGTACTAGAATGTGGAATCTGTATTCAGTAGATCACTGAGGCTTGCAAGAAACTTCAAGTCCATGGTCTGTGGCTTCCAGCCAACCCCTGTTAGAACTTGGGTGGAAATGTTTATGAAGTTCTACTGAAAGCAATTCAAATGTATCTCTTTCCGGCGAATTACAGTGCATGGTGGAGTGAAAATGTGTGATCATTTCTGTCTCAGTTTGCCATTCCATGAGGGGCCCTGAGGCTCAGGGCTCTACCAGGTACCTGACAGCAGCATCCAGCATTGCAGGCAGAATCCCTAGGAAGAAGGAAATTAGCTCCTGACTGTTGGCCTCACCACCTCCAACCTCTGATGGCCAAAGGCTCAGTTGGAGAAACAATTTCAGAAACATATTTCCGGAATCACTGGTTTGTGTATTTTTGTTAGATCCACAAATTTCTGCCTTGATACAGGACAGATTTCCTGTCTCTCCTCTGCTCATGAGCTTCCTTATCCTGGTCTTCAAGGTCAAGAGCATCACCCAGAGTTTCCAAACCTGACTGAGCATCAGAACACCTTGGAACACATTAAAATGCAGTTTCAAGGGGTCTGAGAGGGCACCTAAATGGGTTCTTTTAGCTTATGCCTAAGCTCTGTATTATTCTGTTATTATTAAGCTTTAGAGGGGATTCTGGTGATCAGGAAAGTTTGGGAGAACCTGATCAACACCTACAACTTTAGCATTTCATCTACACATACACACATATGCACGAGCACACACACACACACACCACACACACAGAACAAAGGTGAGGCCAGGGGGTTCACCATTCACATCATCTACCCTAATGATCCCACCTCCCCACCATCTCCTTTTATGATGTGCCTTCCCGGGCAGCCCTTATCTTCAAGGCTGTGCTGTGGAACAGCTACTTGGAGTCGTGGCTAGCCCATTGCGCTGGGAGTCAAGACACTCATTCCCTCTGATTCTGCCGCTGATCCTGAGTGACCTGGGACAAGCTCCTCCTTTATTCCTCCTCTGTGCCTCAGTTTCCCCACCGATGACACAAAAGGGTTGAACTCAGTCAGTGGTTTTCTAAGTGGGTTTGAAGAGTCCTGAGTTTTCCATGACCATAGGAGGGCAAACTATGACTTGCAGGCCAAATTCAGCCCCCCTGCCCATTCTTATAAATTAAGTCTTATTGGAACACAGCCACATTATTTATTTGTTTACATATTGTCTGTGGCTGCTCAAAGGTATCACTCAAAGGAAGGGTTGAATAGTTGAGACAGAAGCCATATAACCCATGGTGTTGAGGGTCCCAAGCCCCCTCAACACATTTGGTAATTCACTAGAAGGGCTCACAGGATGCAGACATAGTTTCTCTCTCAGATATGACTTATTTCCATGGTCAGTGAGAGAAAAAGACGTATCAGGTGGAGTCTGGAGGAATCCACTGCAGGCTCCCCACATTCTCCTGCTTGGGGCACTGCAAAGAATGTGTTCCTTCTCTCAACATCAAATGTTGTCATGTGAGCAGTATCTCTGCCCAGAAGAGACTGCTTGGGATCCAGAGTCCAGGCTGCTAACGGGTCATTTTGTTACATGAATAGGTACTTTCCACCCACGTGATCAGTCACCGTCCTTGGAATTCCTGACTTCCAGAAGGAAAGCAAGTGCTCACCATAAATTGCATTGCTTGTACAAACAGTCCAGGCAGCCTGGCACAGCAGAATTCAGTACCTCTGGTATAGAAAACAACAGTATCTCTTAGTACCACAGGGAACTTCAAAGTCCCCAGATACCCAGTCAAGAGCCAACACTGCAAGCAGGTCCTACTGGACAGCAACTTCAGGCCTGCCATGGTAACTCTTGCCTGCGTACCTGCAAAACCTAAAATATATACTATTTCTAGAAGAACTTTGCTGACTCCTGAGCTGGAGAACTCTCAGATGCCCGTGAGGGGAGATTCAATGGGCTCTGAACCCCAGCTCCATCCATGTCACCCTCTACTGCCACCAGCCTGGTCCAGGCCACCGCCATTTCCCACTTGACAACTACAGGAGCCTCCTAACTGGTCTTCCAGAAATGTCTCTTGACCCCTGTAGGCCACTCTCCACATAGCAGCAGTGAGATCTTTTTGAAATATAAACCTGACAGATTTCTTTGCTTAAATCCCTTCTGGAGTTCCCTGTGGTCTTTTGGGATAAGATCCAAACAGTGAGGCCTTTAAGGTCCTCTTTGACCTGCCTCCTTACTGCATGGCCCCCCTTTCAGGTCATTCCAGACAGTGGCCCCCTTTTTGCCTCAGCACCTTGCCACGTGCTGTTTCTCTGCTGCAACACTTCCTCTTTCTTGCCTGCACCCTCCTTCCCCACCTTGTTTGATGAACACCCATTGTTCCTTTAGGACTCAGTTTAAATATTACTTTGCCAGGCACATCTGTCCCAACTGCCAGCCAGGCACACCCCCACTCCCCCAGTATTCTGTACTTATTTTCCAAAGTACTTATTATATTTATAGTGAAATATTCAGATCGATAGGTAGATTCATACATACATACATACATACATACATACATACATACATACATAGATGATAGATAGACAGACAGACATATAGGCGGATTAATGGATAATAGACAGGCAGACAGGTAGGTAAATAGATAGACAGGTAGGTAGGTAGGTAGATATGTGTTGCATGTATGATTTATTTAATGCCCATTCATTTGCTCCAGAGATATTTACTGAATGCCTGCTCCATATCAGAGGTTATTATAGGTACTGGGATATATAGTATATATAGTAGTGGACAGTGGAGAAGACAGTGATCCCTGCCCCTGGCATTTATAATCTAGCAGGGGAGGAAGGCAGTAAACAGAAATAAAAAGTAAAACATGGTGACAAGAAAGATGGAGACAAAGTATGGCATTGGAGAGGGAGGGTGGGGGCTAGGGAGGACTGTGATTTCCACAGGGTAGCCCCGGAGGACCTCGCTGGGAAGACAGCTTGGAAGCAATGTTTGTATCAGTCTTGTCTACCACTGTGTCCCAGCCCCTGGCTAGTCCAGTTCCTGGTACAGAGGAGGTGCTCAAAAAATATTTATGAATGAATATAAGAGCTAGACCTATTTTAACTTTTGAAGAAAGGTTCTGTTGCTTTAGCAAAGTCTAAAGACCTCCAGCCCACCAGATCTTTGGACTGTTATGTTCTTTATTCTCTATCAGTAATGGCAAAGAAGTGTGTATATGTGTGTGTGTCTCCAAAAAGCAACAGTGAGAACTGATTGTCTGGGGCAGAGATAAGGGTAGTGTCCTCAAGAGGGAAAGGAAAACAAAACTCTATTCACCTGGCAGTTTTTGGAAGCTGGGGTGTTGCAGGAAGGCCTCAGCAGGTTGGAAAGGGCAGTGGGAGCAGCCCTGGGCGTGCTCTCAATATGCTCTGGGGGCTCAAAGGCTGGTGGCCAAAAGTACAGTCACATCAAGTCTGCAGAGAGGTCTCGACGACTCCTCCAACTTTGGAGGCTGGCATACCCCTTTGGTTTGTCTCGACATGCTGAGGGAAGGCAGCCTGTGAGCAGGTCGTTAGAATCGCAGTACCCCAGCTAGAATGCCCACTTGACAGAGAGTTCAGGCCAGAGAGGCTGAGCTACTTGCCTGTGAACATACAGCAGCTTAGAATTTAGAGCCCAGAGTTCCTGGGTTTGGGGCAGCAGAATTCTTAAATGAAGGAAGGTTAGATCTGAAGAAGGAATTAACAGACCCACATCACTCAATGCCAAACAGTTCCCATTTATGCCCACCCCAAACTGTAAAGAATCAGGAAGGTGCTGGTTTCAATTACTGTTTCCTCTTACTGGTGGCATAGCCTTTAGCAAGGCTCCTCACCTCTCTGGGGCCGAGTCCCCCTTCCCTAGAATGAGGACCACCGGTTGTACTTGTCTGCCCCATCAGGTACCTGTGAAGGTCAAGTAAGATGACTCAGTTGGTGGGAGAATGTTTTCTTCTTTTTACAAGTATTTAATTATTTTAATAGACAAAAACCCAGGACATCAATTGACCACATTAAAACCATGACTTCAGAGTTATTATTATTGCTAGAATGAGGCTGTT